AGGTAAGGGACCTTTCCATTACACAGGTAAGGGACCTTTCCATTACACAGGTAAGGGACCTTTCCATTACACAGGTAAGGGACCTTTCCATTACACAGGTAAGGGACCTTTCCATTACAAGTGACCACCGTTACAGACGTAACAGAACCTAGTATTCCACTGTCTCACCGGCATCTGAATGGATTAGCCAGTCAATCCAATGGATTAGCCAGTCAATCCAATGGATTAGCCAGTCAATCCATGTGGATAGAATATCCAGCACGTCTGCCTGTTCAATGGTCTTACAAAGGTCAATGACAGTTTGACATTCAACGGCAACCGGCGCAACCGGGTCCGGCACCAGACGCCGGCCGGAATGTGGAAGTGATCGTTAAAGGAGGTCACGTGGGAGATATTGGGGGAGGTCACGTGCTGACCGGCTCCAGCCGGCCTCGAGGTCTTTGAATGATGGAGTTCCGGCTAACCAGTTCCGGCCTCCGGCACATTTAGCCGGATCATTTCCGTGTCAGGGAAGTGACTTCAAGTGACGTCATTCAACAAGTAGATCGAAATATTTCTTTATATATAGATTGGTGACTTTTTTTCTGTGACTTTTCTTTCTATGACTTTTTTCTGTGATTTTTTTCTTGTCACTTTTTTCCCTTTCGCCATTTTGCCCACCCCACCTCTGTCGTCCCAATCTATTGCCACCTCACCAAGCCGAGAGCCGTCCATTAATTATTTATTTGGAGAAACTACGGCCGTCCATTGGCCGTCCATTGGCCGTCTAAATGTTTAGCGGCGCAAATTTCGTGGCTTTTCTCGTGAACTGGATCGCCAGGGGAGTGAATTTAAAGGGCGATAAGATTTCTTTATGTCAGCTATCTAGTTCTCTCCCCTGAGAGGCTCTTCGCTCTCTAAGGGAGGCAACAAATCCTTGATGCGCCGTCTCTGGCCGTCTGACGACACAGATACATAGCTCTACAGATATCTGGGCCCTCAGATAAACAAAAACATTGACCAACAGAAAGACTGACCCAAAGAAAAAAAAACACATTAAAGACGAAAAAAAAAAGTCACGAATTTTTAAAAAGTCCAATTAAAATAAACCGGGAGTGATCTCCCCTAAACTTTCTCGAATATTCTTATATAAAATAACAGGGGATGGGAACTCGGGCTATAGACATGATTTTTAATCCATTTTAAATTCTTAAAGTTTTAAAAATAGAATAAAATCTGGTAGACAAATTAATTGCACACCAAGTGAACGCCAAATAAAAAAGCGCATAATAGTGCGCAATATTATTAGTACTTTAAAAATTTACATTAGTTTTTTGAGAAATCGGAAGTAGCGTAAATTACTACTTCCGGTCAACGGAAATTACTCAAAATTTAACAGAAGGTAGAGAATTAGATCTTTTACTTACATGTGAAATTTCATTTATCTATCTGAAATAGTACTCAAGTTATAGGCTTTTGAAAAATTCAAAGTAGGAAAAGTACCACTTCCGGTTATCGGAAATCGCTCAAAAGTTGATACGGATCTACGATTTTGATAAAATACTTATATATGAAATTTCATCAACCTAGCTGTAACGGTTCTCAAGTAATCGTGTTTACACACGGACAGACAGACAGACAGACACACACACACACAGACATACGGACAAGATTGCAAAATTATGTTTTTCCGTATCAGTGAGGTGTAAAACGTCGAGATTTGTAAAAATCTCGATTTTTTTTTTTGCACGATTACAATACTTTCTCTATACTTCGTATATACGAGAAAGTAAAAATGAAACAAAAATGACAAAAAAAAAAAAAAAATGACCAAAAAAAAAAATAACCACAACAAACCCACAACAAACCCACAACAAACCCACAACAAACCCACAACAAACCCACAACAAACCCAGCTGCGGTACGATGACGTAAGGCGGTCTAACAGGGAGGCAACAACAGGGGATATAACCAAAGAATTTCACACGAATTATCTACTGAATGAATTAATTGCGTCCCTTGAGTATAAATCCTACCAAAGTTGAGGCGGGAATTGTAACTGAGGGTGGGAACTGAAGGGGTTGAGGATGGTGAAGTGGTGTTGGTGGTTGTGGTGAAGTGGTGTTGGTGGTGGTGGTGAAGTGGTGTTGGTGGTGATGGTGAAGTGGTGTTGGTGGTGGTGGTGAAGTGGTGTTGGTGGTGGTGGTGAAATGGTGTGAGTGGTGGTGGTGAAATGGTGTGAGTGGTGATGGTGAAGTGGTGTTGGTGGTGATGGTGAAGTGGTGTTGGAAATGGTGGTGAAATGGTGTGAGTGGTGGTGGTGAAGTGGTGTGCGTGGTGATGGTGAAGTGGTGTTGGTGGTGATGGTGAAGTGGTGTGGGTGGTGGTGAAGTGGTGTGGGGGGGGGGGTGGTGAAGTGGTGTGGGTGGTGGTGATGAAGTGGTGTTGGGTGGGTGGTGGTGGTGAAGTGGTGTGTGGGGGGGGGGGGTGGTGAAGTGGTGTGGGTGGTGGTGATGAAGTGGTGTTGGGTGGGTGGTGGTGGTGAAGTGGTGTGGGTGGTAGTGTTGAAGTGGTGTCGGTGTTTGTGGTGAAGTGGTGTGGGTGGTGGTGGTGAAGTGGTGTGGGTGGTGAGGTGTGAGGCAATGTGTGTGTGGAGGTGTGAGGCAATGTGTGTGGAGGTGTGGAGGTGTGAGGCAATGTGTGTGTGGAGGTGTGAGGCAATGTGTGTGTGGAGGTGTCAGGCAATGTGTGTGTGGAGGTGTGGAGGTGTGGAGGTGTGAGGCAATGTGTGTGTGGAGGTGTGGAGGTGTGAGGCAATGTGTGTGTGGAGGTGTGGAGGTGTGGAGGTGTGAGGTAATGTGTGTGTGGAGGTGTGGGGCAATGTGTGTGTGGAGGTGTGAGGTAATGTGTGTGTGGAGGTGTGAGGCAACGTGTGTGTGGAGGTGTGAGGCAATGTGTGTGTGGAGGTGTGAGGCAATGTGTGTGTGGAGGTGTGAGGCAATGTGTGTGTGGAGGTGTGAGGCAATGTGTGTGTGGAGGTGTGAGGTAATGTGTGTGTGGAGGTGTGAGGCAACGTGTGTGTGGAGGTGTGAGGCAATGTGTGTGTGGAGGTGTGAGGCAATGTGTGTGTGGATGTGTGAGGCAATGTGTGTGTGGAGGTGTGAGGCAATGTGTGTGTGGAGGTGTGAGGCAATGTGTGTGTGGAGGTGTGGAGGTGTGGAGGTGTGAGGTAATGTGTGTGTGGAGGTGTGGAGGTGTGAGGCAATGTGTGTGTGGAGGTGTGGAGGTGTGGAGGTGTGAGGCAATGTGTGTGTGGATGTGTGGAGGTGTGAGGTAATGTGTGTGTGGAGGTGTGAGGCAATGTGTGTGTGGAGGTGTGAGGCAATGTGTGTGTGGAGGTGTGAGGCAATGTGTGTGTGGAGGTGTGAGGCAATGTGTGTGTGGAGGTGTGAGGCAATGTGTGTGTGGAGGTGTGAGGCAATGTGTGTGTGGAGGTGTGGAGGTGTGAGGCAATGTGTGTGTGGAGGTGTGAGGCAATGTGTGTGTGGAGGTGTGAGGCAATGTGTGTGTGGAGGTGTGAGGCAATGTGTGTGTGGAGGTGTGAGGCAATGTGTGTGTGGAGGTGTGGAGGTGTGGAGGTGTGAGGCAATGTGTGTGTGGAGGTGTGAGGCAATGTGTGTGTGGGGGTGTGAGGCAATGTGTGTGTGGAGGTGTGGAGGTGTGAGGTAATGTGTGTGTGGAGGTGTGAGGCAATGTGTGAAGCGAGGGTGATGACGACACGTTGAACTCGCCTGTTTGTGTGTGTGTGTGTGCTAGTATTGGGTGTGAGGGCGAGAGTGGAAGTGTGAAGGTAATGTGTGTGTGTGTGTGAGGTCCCGCCGCTTCTAATTAATAATTTCTTAAGCGCGCCATTAGCCGTGAAATCCTTTCTAATCGGTTGCACAAACAGACGACCAGACAGGGACCAGGCAATGACGTCATAGGAGAGGGGGGGGGGGTCTGTCAACATTCGGTAACCACGTGATGGAAATATTTCGCACATCATATGGAGGTCACGGGACCTAACGCTTAAAGGTGGACCTGACGCTAAAAGATAGACCTTATGCTAGAAGGTGGACCTAATGCTAAAAGATAGACCTTATGCTAGAAGGTTGACCTAATGCTAAAAGATAGACCTCTTGCTAGAAGGTTGACCTAACGCTAGAAGGTGGATCTAATGCTAGAAGGTTGACCTAATGCTAGAAGGTTGACCTAATGCTAGAAGGTGGACCTTACGCTAGAAGGTGGACCTAATGCTAGAAGGTTGACCTAACGCTAGAAGGTGGACCTAATGCTAGAAAGTTGACCCAACGCTAGAAGGTGGATCTAATGCTAGAAGGTTGACCTAATGCTAGAAGGTTGACCTAATGCTAGAAGATTGACCTAACGCTAGAAGGTTGACCTAATGCTAGAAGGTTGACCTAACGCTAGAAGGTGGACCTAATGCAAGAAGGTGGACCTAATGTTAGAAGGTTGACCTAATACTAAAAGGTGGACCTAACGCTTAAAAGTGGACCTAACGCTTAAAGGTGGACCTAACGCTTAAAGGTGGACCTAACGCTTACATGTGGACCTAACGCTTTAAGGTGGACCTAACGCTTAAAGATGGACCTAACGCTTAAAGGTGGACCTAACGCTTAAAGGTGGACCTAACGCTTACATGTAGACCTAACGCTTTAAGGTGGACCTAACGCTTAAAGGTGGACCTAACGCTTAAAGGTGGACCTAACGCTTAAAGGTGGACCTAACACTTAAAGGTGGACCTAACACTTACATGTGGACCTAACACTTAAAGGTGGACCTAACGCTTAAAGGTGGACCTAACACTTAAAGGTGGACCTAACGATAAAGGTGGACCTAACACTTAAATGTGGACCTAGAAGGTGGACCTAACACTTAAATGTGGACCTAGAAGGTGGACCTAACACTTAAATGTGGACCTAGAAGGTGGACCTAACGATAAAGGTGGACCTAACACTTACCTCGAGAACAGATCCCCCTGAGGGCATGAGCTGTGGATAGAGAAAAAAATCGGTGAGTTCTATGACGTCATAGGTCTTGTTCCAATAGAACAATGGTGGAATGTTGGTGTGTGGTGTGGTGTGTGGTGTGGTGTGTGGTGTGGTGTGTGGTGTGTGGTGTGTGGTGTGTGGTGTGTGGTGTGTGGTGTGTGGTGTGTGGTGTGGTGTGTGGTGTGTGGTGTGTGGTGTGTGGTGTGTGGTGTGTGGTGTGTGGTGTGGTGTGGTGTGTGGTGTGGTGTGGTGTGTGGTGTGTGGTGTGGTGTGGTGTGTGGTGTGGTGTGTGGTGTGTGGTGTGTGGTGTAATGTGGTATGTTTGTGTTAGAGTGGATGGATTAATTAATAAAAATAATTTTTTTAGAATTCCTATTAGGGTTGCCCCAATTAGCCGTCAGTTGACCTACTTATTTTAGCCTTAACCCACTTGTCAGATTGCAAGAGAAATGGAGAGCCACCCCAACACTCACAACAACCCCCCAACCCCACCACCCAGAATAAACACCCCAACCCCCACCACCCAGAATAAACCCTCCAACCCCATCCCTGACAACAACCCCGCCACCCCACCAGTACAAACTATTCACAGAACTAAGCGGTCTATTCACACAACTAGGCGGTCTATTCACACAACTAGGCTGTCTATTCACACAACTAGGCGGTCTATTGACACAACTAGGCGGTGTATTCACACAACGAGGCGGTCTATTCACACAACTAGGCGGTCTATTCACACAACTAGGTGGTCTATTCACACAACTAGGCGGTCTATTCACACAACTAGGCGGTGAAACAACTAGGCGGTCTATTCACACAACTAGGCGGTCTATTCACACAACTAGGCTGTCTATTCACACAACTAGGCGGTCTATTGACACAACTAGGCGGTCTATTCACACAACGAGGCGGTCTTTTCACACAACTAGGCGGTCTATTCACACAACTAGGTGGTCTATTCACACAACTAGGCGGTCTATTCACACAACTAGGCGGTGAAACAACTAGGCGGTCTTTTCACACAACTAGGCGGTGAAACAACTAGGCGGTCTTTTCACACAACTAGGCGGTGAAACAACTAGGTGGTCTATTCACACAACTAGGTGGTCTATTCACACAACGAGGCGGTCTATTCACATGTGGGGTCTGGGGGAGATTGTTGTGGTGGTGTGAAATGTGGTGGTGTAGGGTGTGGGGTGTAATGGTGTTGGATTTGCTGGTGTGGGGTGTGGTGGTGTGGGGTTGTGGTGGTGTGTGGTGGTGTGGAGTTGTGGGGTGTGGCACGTGGTGGTGTCAGGTGGTTTGGGGAGTTGTGTTGTAGTGTGGGATGGTGCGGGGTGGTGCGGGATGGTGCGGGATGGTGCGGGGTGGTGTGGGGTGGTGCGGGATGGTGCGGGATGGTGCGGGGTGGTGCAGGATGGTGCGGGATGGTGCGGGGTGGTGCGGGGTGGTGCGGGGTGGTGCGGGGTGGTGTGGGGTGGTGCGGGGTGGTGCGGGGTGGTGCGGGGTGGTGGATACACTTGCTACCAACAAAGGGCGGCAACAGCCCGCCTGCCGTGTGAAGAGAAAATCAATCCGCCCAAAGTAAAACCCAGTCGCCGGCCCTGAACAAACAGCTGCTAGCTGTGGCCAGAACAATGGCCCCGAGTCGACTCAATAGAGCGTGACGGTAGCCAGTGGGGCATGCTAAAATATTGCTCCAGCAATCCAGACTTCTTACTACAACAATGCCAGTTGATCGAAGCTCGTCGATTCTCAACACGGCCTCTAGGTATCGATACTCGGAAAAGCTTTTGAGAAAACATATTTGGTATCGATTCTGTTATTAGTACGTATTTTAGCTCGTTGAACACAGCCGAGGGAAAATCAGCTGATTCGACAGTACGATCGACAGTTACTGCCCGTGTGTGCCCGTGTCTGCCCGTGTCTGCCCGTCTCTGCCCGTCTCTGCCCATGCAGCTAGCGTTGATGCGTGCACCGGTTCAACCAACTTGCTCAAAGGTTGGCGCGTTCTTTGACGCCAGAAGGTATCGATACTTGCAAATATCAGCGAGGTATCGCCGTACGTTAGTGCAGCTAATCGATCACCGCACAGCGCACCGGAAATGTCAAAAGTTGCAGGGTAGGATGGTCGTTACCTACAGCCTGATGACGGTTAGGGCGTGGTGTGTGGGTCTTGTGTGTGGGTCTGGTGTGTGGGTCTTGTGTGTGGGTCTGATGTGTGGGTCTGGTGTGTGGGTCTGGTGTGTGGGTTTGGTGTGTGGGGTGTGTGGGTCTGGTGTGTGGGTCTGGTGTGTGGGTCTGGTGTGTGGGGTGTGTGTAGGGGATGTGTGAGGTCTGATATTCGGGTGCTGAGCAACGCGTCGTGTAATTAACTTTAACAAGCAATTAGTATGTTAATTGCCGGGTTACACCTGCCTTTGACTAATTAATGAATGAGAATCTTGAGGTCAGCTTGTGACCTTATAGACCTAGCAGTGTTCAGATATTCCCCATCCCACTTGGTGGGTCTATCGTGTTGTTTAATGGTCGATTACTAAGCCAAGAAGACATTTAAGACAGGCAATCAAGACAGACATTTAAGACAGACCCTCATTGAATTAAAAAGCCATTACGCACTACCAAAAAACAATTGAAATATGTTGATGAAATAAGCAGTGTTGTTCTATACAAGGGGAGAGAATACAAGGGGAGAGAATAAAACAAGAGCAGACGAGTAGGAAATGTCACATTATTTGTTAAAAACATGACCGGTAGGAAGTGACGTCAGAAAGTGAAACCAACCTTTGAGACAATATCTGTCAATCATTGACAGTCAAAGTCCATTGTCTATGTATCCACGTTCAGAGTATATGTATCACCTAACTACCACTCACTAACACACACCTAACTATCCCTCACCTAACTACCCCTCACCTAACTACCCCTGACTAACACACACATAACTACCCCTCACTAACACACACCTAACTACCACTCACCTAACTAACACTCACTACCACACACCTAACTAACCCACACCTAACTAAGCCTCACCTAACTATCCCTCATCTTACTAACACACATCTAACTACCCCTCACTAAACCTCACCTAACTAGCCCTCATCTAACTACCCCTCACTAAACCTCACCGAACTAGCCCTCACCTAACTAGCCCTCACCTAACTACCCCTCACTTAACTACCCCTCATCTAAATACCCCTCACTAACACACACCTAACTAACCCTCACTAACACACACCTAACTAGCCCTCATCTAACTACCCCTCACTAAACCTCACCTAACTAGCCCTCACCTAACTAGTCCTCACTTTACAACCCCTCACCTAACTACCCCTCACCTAACTACCCCTGACTAACACACACCTAACTACCCCTCACTAAACCTCACCTAACTAGCCCTCACCTAACTAGTCCTCACTTTACAACCCCTCACCTAACTACCCCTCATCTAAATACCCCTCACTACCCACACCTAACTTGCCCTCACTAACACACACCTAACTAGCCCTCACCTAACTAGCCCTCACTCAACTACCACTCACCTAACTACCCCTCACTACCCCTCACCTAATTACCCCTCACTAACACACAACTAACTACCCCTCACTTAACTACCCCTCACCTAACTACCCCTCACTAACACAGACCTAACTACTCCTCACTAACACACACCTAACTACCACTCACCAAAATACCCCTCACTAACACACAACTTACTACCCCTCACTTAACTACCCCTCACCTTACTACCCCCCACTAACACACACCTAACTACCCCTCACCTAACTAGCCTTCACTTAACTACCCCTCACCTAACTACCTCTCACCTAACTACCCCTCACTAACACACACCTAACTACCCCTCACTACCCCTCACCTAACTACCCCTCACTACCCCTCACTAACACACACCTAACTACCCCTCAATAACACACACCTAACTAGCCCTCACCTAACTACCCCTCACTACCCCTCACCTAACTACCCCCCACTAACACACACCTAACCAACCCCCCACTAACACACACTAAACTACCCCTCACTACCTCTCACCTAACTACCCCCCCCACTAACACACACCTAACTACCCCTCACCTAACTACCCCTCACTACCTCTCACCTAACTACCCCCCACTAACACACACCTAACTACCCCTCAATAACACACACCTAACTAGCCCTCACTTAACTACCCCTCACCTAACTACCTCTCACCTAACTACCCCTCACTAACACACACCTAACTACCCCTCACTAACACACACCTAACTACCCCTCACTACCCCTCACCTAACTACCCCTCACTACCCCTCACTAACACACACCTAACTACCCCTCAATAACACACACCTAACTAGCCCTCACCTAACTACCCCTCACTACCCCTCACCTAACTACCCCCCACTAACACACACCTAACCAACCCCCCACTAACACACACTAAACTACCCCTCACTACCTCTCACCTAACTACCCCCCCCACTAACACACACCTAACTACCCCTCACCTAACTACCCCTCACTACCTCTCACCTAACTACCCCCCACTAACACACACCTAACTACCCCTCAATAATACACACCTAACTAGCCCTCACTTAACTACCCCTCACCTAACTACCTCTCACCTAACTACCCCTCACTAACACACACCTAACTACCCCTCACTAACACACACCTAACTACCCCTCACTACCCCTCACCTAACTACCCCTCACTACCCCTCACTAACACACACCTAACTACCCCTCACTAACACACACCTAACTACCCCTCACCTAACTACCCCTAACTACCCCTCACTTAACTACCCCCCACTAACACACACCTAACTACCTCTCACTACCTCTCACCTAACTACCCCCCACTAACACACACCTAACTACCCCTCACCTAACTAACCCTCACTACCTCTCACCTAACTACCCCTCACTAACACACACCTAACTAGCCCTCACTTAACTACCCCTCACCTAACTACCCCTCACTACCCCTCA